CAATCCGACCACCTGACAACCCGAACCAATCCAACTCGAACTATAAAGTTGGGTTGGGTTGGATTAACATTTCGAGTAGGGTTGGCTTCATTTTTCAGAACCCGAATTGAATTGATTCAATTTCGGGTTCATGGGACAAAACCCTCGGGTTGACCCGAGTGACCCGATATAAATAAAAATATATAAACTATATTAAGAATTTTTTATTATTAATGGGTTTGTCACGGTGTTACGTGTCTAGCAATTTTTATATATTTTTTATTTTTGTTATATACAATATCTTTAAATAAATTTTTTTATTATTTATTGTATCCCAGGTCCCATATTTCAATTAAAATATTTTAATATATTTTTTATTTTTGATGTGGGTATATTTTAATTAAAATATTTTTATATAATTTTTATTTTTGTTATATGTCATACTTCCAAATTAAAATCTTTGATTTTTTATTTAATTTGATGATGTATCCTAATATATATTTTATGTTATATTTTAGGTGAATAATTGTAATTGTAATGGTATTTTCAATTTTGTAACCTAAAAGAATTAGGGAAGAAATAGAAGCGTCATTACTTAAGAAATAGGAATGAATAGAGTGGGTCATTAGGGCTACCTCTTTTGCAGCGTTTCATCTCCTTCTCTCATCTCCCTTCGTCGTCTACTTCTTTTTCTTATTCTAGTTTCTTCATCGTCTTCGTCTCGAATCTCGATTTTAAGTTTCTGAACCAGAACCTTACAATCGGATCCACCTTAAGATTGAGGTTTTTCAGATGATACAAATCTTCATTTGTAAGTACCGATCGGTTGTTTGGTTACATGCTTTATAATCTGGAACATTAGTGGTAGTTTTGAGGCGAAACGATTTTGAGTTTGAGCGTCTCGTCTTTGATCTGAGATTTAGAGATGAAGCGGTCGAGGAAATCAATGCGTGTTTCGTGGGCTCATGGAGTTAATCTTTGTCAGGTATAATCGTAATATCTTATAATCGAAGTCTGGTTTCCTTACAGAATCATCAAAATTAATATATCTTTTAACAAATTTAAGCTCTAATCGATCCATTTTCCTTGGTTGATTTTAAGTTGACGCTTTCTCGTTGATGAATTTGATAATATCAGTTTAGGTCGTGTAGAGAGTAATAGAAATACTGCTCTTTGGCACAATGATTTTTTTCCAAAACTTTGGAACAATTAACAACAGTTTGCTGCTAATGAATTCGTCATCTTAATTACAAGAAGTACTAATTATTATCGCTCGCCGGGTGGATTAAGTAATTAAGATTGTGAACAAATTATCATTCTCCCTGTGCGAGCAAACACGGGCTATAAATCATTAAAACATTATTAATTCATTCACATTTACGGAATTAAAACAACCGCAGTCCGTTTGAACGATCTGAGAAAGTTCTTAAATGTCAGAACAAGAAATTTATGGAAGCTTTGAAGATACGATGGTAATAAAAAAAGATATGGTTTGATAAAAATAACAATCTGATTCAGGTTATAGTTTCAAGTACTATTGTACAACAAAAGCTTTGGCGACCAAATATTAACAGAATGATCCTTGTACTAATAAACTGCAAGTTTTTGCTCACGATCAGGAATCCCAAAAATAAATTAATAAAAGAAGAAAAAACGACGAAGTATTTGCTAAGAAATCATTACTCAACTCTTAAAATACTAATGGAATTTTTGTATTACTTCAAAAAGAATTAAAATTGGAACCTGTCATGGAAAAATTATGTTTTTTTCTTTGAAAGAACTCTTACCTTATAGGAGAATTGAAGTTTCATCTGTCAAATGAACATGTAGAAGAAACTCAACCATGTCATGGTTCTTTTGTCTCTTTCTTTCATTTGGTAGAAAGAATCCAATTGAGGGTCTTTTAATGATCAGTTTTCTTGGAGGACTTGGATTTTGGTTCATTACTATGATGAACCAAAAAGGGCATCTTCTATCAATCAACCATTCTTGGTTGCTAGCCACCTGCTGCAGACTTCTGCTCTTTGGAGATGCAGCAGGGAGGCAAAAACAAAGCTCAAAATGGAGATATCAAGGCCACTCTTTTCCGGTTTAAGAAAAACTTATTCATTTATAAGTGTTGTTTTTTCTTCAATCAGATTGCTAGAGGTAGAAACCAACCTTTTTCATTCTTATGTACCTGAGACCATATGATTTGTGATCTCAGAGCATATGGCTGCAGACACATTTTCATCCTACATTCTTTTGTCATTGTTACTTTTTTTCTGAAAATATTCTTTTGTCATTGTCTATCTTTTTTCCCCCCAAAACTGTAATGGCTTCTTCTCAGCTGCTATTGATTGAATGCCTGTTTTTAACCTTATATGAACACGTTCTTGTTTACTTATTGTGATTCTGAGAGTGACAATGATCTTGCTTAAGTACGCCATTGATGGAGGCTTTGGTTCAAATGGAGGCAATACCTTAACCGGGTTCTGCAGGATATTGATTGATCATTTCATCTGTGAATTTGCTTTGATGTGTACTTGCATGCAACTTTTGAAGCTTGGAATGTTACACAATGTTATAATTGGACGTTGCAGAGTGATTAAACAGATGTTAATATTCAATAGTTCAATGGTTTTTCTTGCTTATTTAACTTCCCATTAGGTTGCAAGAGTTATTATCCCTTGGAATTTTCCCCATCCTTCTGGCTCATGCAAATTTAAGTATCTTGATATTTGGAATTAAAGTGAATGATTATTGTTTTGAATAGGTGAAGCTATTCTCATCAGAGGACTGTCCTTCTAAAGTGGGCCAGAAATCTCTAGATCATCTCCAAGCAAAAACTCCCTGGATGTTGCATCCTTATATTGCTGAATTTAATGATTGCCCGCCTGGATTTGAGTTTACTCCTTCGGGAAACCAATCTGCTGATCTGTCTGGCATTTCTTTGATCAAGTGGAAATGCCCTCTCAAGGTGAGCCCTATTTGATTGATATTTCTGTTCACTTCACAGAATTCCAACCCATTTAGTGGCTATGTGATGTATGTTTGCGTCTTCTTCTGATGTGTAAACATTTTCACCTCTTCCAATATGTCAAAATTGCTATACCATTTTTCTCTGTACAGTTTGTTATGGATTCCAACTGGTGTGTGGCAGCAGGAGAGGAAAGTAGAGAGGTAGAATCTCAGAAATTGAGAGAAATGAGACTGCTCGAAGCAGTTTATCCTCGATCATCTGCTATTCCTTCAGGGTAATTTCATTCTTTTGTTTCTTCACATCAACTTTGAAGCTTCATATTAATGTGATAACACATTAACCTATCCAATAATTCCCTCTTTCTTTTGCTCTGTAGTGCGACCGTTTCGACTGATGTTGAAGATGAGCTTTATGATGATAGCCTCACTCCTCATGTCCCTATCATTCCTATTGAAGAAGATGAGTGCGAAGATTTAGGATCAAATTCAGCCGCCGCAGTAAACTTCCCTACGAGCCCAATGCCGATGGCTTCCAATTGTTCGTTGGAACGTTCAATCCCCGCAAGCACCACTGAAACATCTGCTGAAAAGTTGCCTGATGTTGGTGTGGATGTTGCTGCTGCTGCCTCTACTGCATTTGCAGTATTGACGAAAAGTATGGAGCAGGGAAGCATGATCGACACGAATTTGCTTATTAAAATTTTCAGTGATCCAAAAATGATCCAGAATTTGTCCAACATTCACCCTGTATCTGTAGCAGTCTCAGGGAGCCCACCCATCGCCGCTGGTGCTTTATCAAAGCCACCAGTGAGTGAATCAGTTTCTTCGCCTCTCACAACATCCATTTCGATACCAAACCGTCCAAATGGAAGCACATTGAAAGTGTCTAATGGATTCCCATCCACGGTCACCACTGCTCTTCCTCAGATGAGTAGCATTCCTACAGCCGATGTAAATCTTGTTGCAGTCCCAGGCCACTTTCCGGTTTCAGATCCCAACAACGTAAAAATGACCGTACCGAATGCTGGGATCTATTCTAAAATCGGAATCATTCCGACATATGCTAACATGGTGCCAGTTAGTTCAGTGAGAAAAGAAGCTCAGCAATTGAAGGATCTTAGCTACTATAAGAACTTAGTAAGACAACATGGAGATCAGAGGGACTTTAAGAAACACAAACTTGGACAAGATGGCAATAATCACAATCATCATAATCTGAATATGGTACATGAGATGAAAGCAGAAAACTTGAAACCCAAGATTCAGAAACAATGCATTTATTTTAATGGCCCAAAGGGGTGTCGAAATGGCGTTAATTGCCAATTCAAACATGATATTCCACTTCAGAATCAAAACGCTAAGAGAATGAAACTGTGTGGTGAAGTAACAGGGAGGACTTGATTGGGTTTATGCTTCACCATTCAGAAGTTTTCTTGTTCAAGCAGGAAAACGATGTCCTTTTTGAGGCCAAAGGGACATCTTGTGTTAATTTTTAGGAAATCAGGAAGAATTTTAACAAGATTTCAGAGGGGGGATTTTGAATTTGGGATTATTTGTTGGTGGTTGGTTGTTTGCGATTAGCTGGGATAAATGGCTCCATGTGTTGTAATCAATCCTTCAGCATGAATGTAAATTCTTTGGAGTACCTTTGAGTTCATTAATTCTGTCAAATAAATTCTCAAATTTTTAGGTAATTATCAGTTTGCATTTATATTTAATGTTTAAAAATTCTCATTATCATTTTATTATATTTAGGTATGTTCATGTCATTTGCGTACTACTTAAACACATAGAACTTAACCCATTTATCAAGTAAAATTCATTTCTTTCCAATATAATATGTTATTAATTTAATAAAACACAAACTTTTTATTAATAAAATTTTCCAATCTTTTTATGAAAGTATTTATTAAGAACTTAAGAACCAAATTTTGAGTTAAATAAAATATTAAAGACCAAATTAACCTTATGTAATTGTTTTCAAAGAAATCAAGATTTTTCATTCATAGTGTGTCCATTGAAAACTTAAAATATATGGACTAGAAAAAAAAAAGGTCAAGTCACAAGTCAAGGCTATCACTCATTCGCTCTGTTCTGAATCAACGTATTTTAAAAATGTGATATAAATACAGATCAGTTCCTTGACACGAGATGGGGGAAGCGAAGGGTTTAAAGAATGGAAGAATCCCAATTGGTAATGGGTATTCAATCTACATAATGGATTTGAAAGAAAGAATGAAATTTGTAGATACATAAAATTGAAGCTAGCTGAGGGAGGAAATTCAATCAATGATCCAAACAATGTGGGCTTCAGCAACCTAAAAATGATCCAACCGTAGCAAGAACACAAACTGATGCAATGCTATCCAAGCTAGAGCTTTCCACGAAGATGAACCTATTTTTCTCTCAGAATGGGCCATCCTTTTTTTATAATGTCGTTGATCTTGGCATCAATTTGCTTCTGAGTCTTCGGAGGACAGAGGTCTGCGGCGTACCCGTTCATATTTGCTGCCAAAGTGGACATCTCAAGCTCCTCTTCTGGCAAGTTGCCCATTAATTGAAGAAAAAAGGGATTCCTCTTCAGCTCAAACTTCTGCGAGTAAATATATAGTGAGTGAGATTTGACATGTAACGTCAACGATTCAATTTTTTAGCTACAAAGGTCTGGAGAAAAATTTCGAAAAATAAAAAATCAGTTCTCAGAAGATGGGCCATCCATTCTGAAGCTATGATGCACTTCATCTTCAAACGGGAAAGTGGGGCTCGGAGTAGCAGTTTTAATGTAACGCAAAGGCCACGACATCCTAAGCTTACTTGAGCTTCAAATAGGAAAAATGGGGATATGGGTAGCAATTAACAAAGTAGGAAAAGACCAAAGACATCTCAATCTATCTGAACTGCAACATTTCTAGGTGAGTTGTATGTCAAGAAGCAGGAAATCTTAAAACACGAAATTTCGCCAGATAATTGCTTCAAATAATCATGTTAATCAATGATATTCACCTGATGTTCAGCCTCAGCAGGATAAAATGCTCCAAGTTCCTGAATTTGTGTAGTTACAGCGCTTCCTCTTGACTTCAGTTGCTCTCTTTCTTTGCTGACAGCAGCCAGTCTAGATTCTTCGGTGCCATTAGTAAAAATGATAGATCTGATACAAAAGAGTAAATAATACAATTATCAAACGTTAATTCTGTTTAAACCATGAGCTAGAACTTAGAATGTACCTATACTGGTTGCCCACATCCGGACCCTGTCCAAACACTTGCCTAGAATCATGACTGGACCAAAAAACCTCTAAGAGTTGCCTGAAACTAGTAAGCTTGGGATCATATTCGACCTGAAATGAATTACAAAGCATGTGATAAATAATCAGTCCCATTGAAACACACATGTAATGTAATGAAACCAACAATTAAATTTTTTTATGAATCTCAATAATCATATATCAATATATGATTCGAAATTTGTATCCTGAAAGAAGATTCTTTCGTCATTGTGTATGAAATTACATAGAACACAGAGCTAGGGCGAGGCCTCTCCAAATGATGCATCAACGATATCTAAAGATCAAGCACCGATCATAGGGGGCAAGTCCCCCAAATAATTGCATCACTACAATCGAAAAGACACGTCAACCTATCTAGGATTAAGTGAAGTCACAGTTGATTTCAAAATTATACAGAACATACAGCCTCACTTTAACAATTTCAATGCATGTAAGTGAAGAATGTCTTGACTGAAAGGTGGTTCGTAGGTGCATAAATAGACAGTGAACAATTCCTATTCCAGAAAAGAAGAACATTGACAAATCGTCGACAAGAAAGAAAACAGGATTTATTTAATCCATTTGCACATCAGAGATCTGTGACAAACAAATTCGATATAAGCTCCCCTAAAAAATGTGACATGAAACCAAATGTCGGGCAATTTAAACCTCATTCCTGCTTCTCATAAGGAGAATTTCAAGAAAACAAAATACAAATCCGATCAACGAAGCAAAACGAGATTGAAAAGGTAAATATACAATATAACCAAACGTATAGACGGGATCTACCGAAGTAATGATGGCACAAACATAATCAGAAATGTAGAATACAGAAAATTCACAAAGTAAAAAATGAAGATGATGAAATCAGAAAAAGAAGAAATGTAAAGGAGAAGAGAAGGTAAGAACCCGAACCCGGACAGACTCGGCATGATCCCCCAAGCTACGATACTCAGGATTCAGTTTAGTACCACCGGCGTAGCCGACGGTGGTCCGGACGACTCCATCCAAGCAACCAAAGACGGCTTCCGATCTCCAGAAACATCCCAAAGCGAAGACTGCCGTTTTCAAGGAGTGATGGCTTGACGGAATCTTGTTAGAGTCCGCAATCCGATTCAGGGTTCTGATACAACAAGATTTCCCAGACAGGAGAAAGACGAGGAAGAAGAGGATTGTGAAAATGCGAACGCAAATTGTGGTCTGCAAAAGCGCCATTACTGTCTGCAACACATGCGGGCAGAGCAGTTCGAGCACTTGAATCTTCATTTTAGCATTCATGGGCTCGAAAGTTGAGCAGCATGGGCCTTACGGCCCGCAGCCCGCTAGAATATTAAAGCCCAGGCCCATTTTTAAGTTGCTATAAATATTTCGAATATATTTTTAGCAAAAATAATGTCTCCCTCAATCCGCCTCAAATAAAACATTTATTAGATTACCGAGGTGGCATTTTTAAAAAGTAAATAATAAAGCGTTCAGAGCTTTTAAATAAATAAATAAATAAATAATTCTTCCGATGGAGGGAAGAAAAATGAAATGGCCTAGAAACGAATTGACAACCTAAATTATTGTAATGTCGAAGTTGGTTCCCTAATCAGATTTAGCGGCAGTGGCTGCAGCTTGTCCTCTGAGCCTACCAGTTCTTCTTGCAGCAATGAGACCGACCTTCTGACCAGGCGGTGCATCCCGCCTGACAGTGCTGGCATGTCCAATGTGTTGGTGGTTACCTCCTCCGTGAGGATGCTCAACCGGGTTCATTGCAACACCACGAACCTTAGGCCAGCTGTTCCTCTTCACTCTGAATTTGTGGTATGCACTACCAGCCTTAAGAAGGGGCTTCTCAGTCCTACCTCCACCTGCAACCTGCCCGACCATGGCTCGGCACCCACTTGGAACTATTTTCTTTGATCCAGATGGAAGCTTGATCCTGATGGTAATAATCAAGAGATGAACATAGTTATTCAAGTGCAAATGGGGAAAAAATGTTTGAATGAATCAATACAAGCTAGAATCAAATGCCAGAAATCTGAGGAATGTATCTATTCATTACCAATCACTGAAAAAATCTGAACGAAAAAGATGAAACAAGCAATTTAGCAACAAATAACAATTCAATTTAGCAACAGAAATGAATCATTGTCTTCGATTCTCAAATTCCAAGCTTAGGGCAGTCGTTCAACCAGCATTTTCAAATTCCAAGCCTAGAAACTAAGTAATAACTAGAATTGTTAGCTATATTGGAGCAACAAATGATATAATACTAACGCAAAACAACAAAGAAAAACGGTAAAACAAATTAGGTTTCTATATGAGATCAAACGAATTAGACAGACTCAACAAAAATCATCGCCAAACCTGGAAGTGTCGTTATCAGGATTGTGACTGATAACAATTGCGTAATCTCCCGAGCACCTGGCAAAAACACCACGGTCACCGACATGGTGTTCAACGTTGCAGACAACAGCACCTTCAGGGATCGATCTTATCGGCAGGACATTTCCGACCACAAGATTTGCCTTCTTCCCGCAGTAAACAAATTGGCCAGTGTACATACCTTCAGCTGCAACAAACAGTTCATTCTGTTTCTTGTATCTGAAAGGATGGCGGAAGGAAACTCGAGCAAGCGGCGCTCCACGGCCTGGGTCGTGAACGATCTCAGTGACGACTCCTTTCAAATAACCATTTCGTTCCCCGAAATCGAGACTTCGGAACCTGGCTGGGCCCTTCCGATGATGTGTATGGGACCTGAAGACGGACCCCGCTCCCTTACGCTGAGCACGAATGACCCTTCCCATGGCGACTCCGTGAGATTGGAGAGTTTTAGTACACTACCGCACCGATATTAGAAACAACATAGGGTTGAGACGAATTTATATCGCATCAAACTGAAACTCACTGTCCCACTCTGCAGTCCGCCACGTAGACGAGGCCCAACTTTTATGGGCCTTTCGAGACTATCGGCCCAATAACTGGAAGGAAGCAAATAAAGCCAGACAAGTTATTCTTTTATAATTTAAACTTTGTAATAATTATTTTTAGAATACCTTTATATAATTTATTCTACGAAAATTTCCAACAAAGTATTAATATTAAAATATTTTATTTTCCTTACCTTTTTTCTAATTTTAATTCAATAATATTAACCTCTAAAAATAATAATTAATATCTTATCCATTAAATTATTCTCGTATCAATCATCTAAAAATTCTAAAAGAATCTTAATATTAGTATATAACGCCCTAAAATCGAACCCACGTGCTAATATTGAGTCTTCCTTTCATTAGTGTGTGGCCTACGCCAACCCAATTTTCCTACTACAGATGTATGGTCTCCGAACTACTACCACAATGAACCGAAAGACTTGGTTTCGAAGAATGTTGTCCTAAACTTACAATTATCCATCCTGTTATCATAGTTATCAAAATCTTATCTTATTTTATTTTTATTAATAAAAAAATATTTTTGAAAAAAAGCCAAAAAATAAATATATGGCTAATAATGGTAACATGAACTTTGAATAGTAATATTACTGTTCATTGTGATTACCTTATCTTACCTTATCTTATTTCTCGTGTTTTTTTTTTTTTGAATTTTTGTAGCCTCATATTATCTCTTACGTATGTTTCACATCATCAAACGTGAAAATACATTTTTTTCGAAGATTTTTATTAGATACATATTCATGTTTAAAAAGAAAAAAAACAATTTATTAGATAAAAATGAACTTATTAAAAAATTAAGTTAAAAAGAAAAAATATATATTTTAAGAATTAAAACAAAAAATGATTAAGTCTAAAAATTGGGTAAGATTTGCAAATAATAATAAATAACGGGCGATGAAGACAAAATTAATTAATTTTATATGTGAACAGTGTGTTTGTCATGTGATGAAGTTTGTCTCCACGTAATTAAGCACCGAAATTAGCTCATAATCCCTTTCTTTGAAACGTAAGCATCCCATAATCATCAAATTAAAATGATGTTAATCAATGAAAGATGACAAAACCACACTTAATTAGCCAATAATCAAGGCAGGATAAAAGTCATATTGTGCGGCTAAGCAAAGCACGGAAGGTATACAATACGCAGTGTTTGGTAGAATGATCCACCATGTGTGGACATCCCCAGCCCCTCTCCCATGTGCATTCTATTACTAAAAACGAAATCCCTATCGACCCGACCAACTCAAAACTTGTGGATTTTAAGACGAGTTTAGATTATAAAACTTATTCCTTCTCATTTCATCGATCCAACTCAATAATCTCTCAAATTGATACGAGCCAATCATTAAAGAATTAGTGGTATCGAGCTCACGGAACGATGATTAGATATTCGAATTCTCGCCCACGTATGTTGTATTATGTTCATGCATTGCTTCCTAAGTTCTGGGTTGTTTAAGATAGTTATGAAAGCTAAATATTTTGGATGTTGTAAGTCCAAATTATGGAGTGTAAGTAAAGTATGAACAGATGATGAAGCCTGCAACTTCTTTCTGTATATTAATAATGATAGATTCATGAAGAACATAAATGATTAGAAAAGAAGTCCAGCAAAAGGAGGAGGGCAAATTTAGCTCCTTCCAATTCCTTTTCCATTCAAGATTCAAGCAATTTGAAAGAAAGAAAGAAAAAAAGAATCCTGATCTGTTTATGGGTTGGTCTGATCTCATGTGATCTTGATCATGGCTGTTAAGGAGCGAAAAACAACCTCTTCACAAGGGATGGTGATACCCATGTCATGGTTGAAACCAAACTCCTCCTCTGCTCTGTGCAGCAGGCTCTGGAACTGTGGATGAGCCAGCCAGGAAATGGGGACAATGTGTCGGCTTCGGTTTTCTCCGACGTAGACTGCGAAGTGGCCTTTCGGCACGTCGTCAGGGAGGCCATCGTCGTTGCAGCCATTTCGCTTGCCGAAGCTTGAACATCTTTTGAGAATGTGTCTGATGGAGGCAGAGGGCTGAAGTAGATTACCCTTTTTGATAGCCATGTTGTATTGTAGGAGTATGTGTTTGCGTCTATGATTGATGATGATGAGAGAAGGATTGAGGGATTGAGTTTGAACTTGAAGAAAAATGGAGAGATTAAAGAGGTATTTAAGAGGAAGAATAAGAAGAAGAATGAGAACAAAATCATGTGAGATGTGGGAGTAAACAGCAGACCACAAGAGTTCTTGTAAGCCAATTCTGTATTAGAAGAGTTGCGTATGCCAACCCAAGTGGGCCATTTCGCTACCCAGTTGCGTCTTTTGGGCACACAACATGGAGCCCTCTCCCAAGGATCAAATTTTTATTCCTAAATCAACTTATAATATTTTTCTTTTTACAAACCTTTAAAGTACTAGCAATGTCCTCAAACAACGTTAGGTGACTAAAATGTTCTCTTCATTATGCTACAAAGACCAATGGAGTAAATCTTTCTTTCATTTTTTAGATTGTAACGAATTCAGTCAAACAACATTACGAGTCTAAAGGCGGAATCAAACTTGAAAGGACTCCCTTATACAACCCTTATCAGGTAGTTTTCAAACGCCTAATTGGATTTTATCCTTTACCTCGAATGGTAGTTTTAAAACAGTATTGGAAGGCCAAGAGTAATATTACAAGAGATCGACTAGAGATTTTTTTTTTTTTTTTTCCAAAAATAAAGAAATAGAGAATGGGAAGATAGAATTAGATGGATTGGTTCAAATTGGGTAACCTGAATGCCACATCAAGGTTCAGGTAGAATGAGTTAGAACATTGTATATTGACAAAGAAATCCCCACCACCCACCAACTCCAAACTTATACTTAGATTTGATTGTCAACTAAATATTAAAAATGACTTGGAAGCCAATATTTTCCATGTAAATAAATATAATATGAATTGAATTTATTGAATTATATTGATAAACCACATGGGCAATCACGGTTCTGTACAACAGAAAAGTTTCATAGTTAATGTGAGGTCCCACATCGATTGGAGAAGAGAATGAAACATTCCTTACGAGGATGTGAAAACATTCTCTAATAGATGCATTTTAAAATCGAGGCTAATAACGATAAGTAACGGGTCAACGTAGACAATATCCACTAGCACAAGAAAAGATTTAACAAAATATTTACACAGAACCCACAGAGATCCAAGAAATAGACAGCTGATGAGAAAGTTGAAAGCAAAATGCAAGTACTTCGGGGATGCCAGAGCCTCTTAATCAAAGACGTGCCATAAAATGAAAAGAAAGAGGAAGATGTTTCCCACATGAGAGCCCGTAAATGTCAGTTTCCCAGTAATATTTATGGCAGAAAACAACATTTTCACGACTTCCTAATATCTAGGCTACACAAGCCACCACAAGATTGAAAGACCAAACTTGAGATTTTGTCTTATATATTTTGGGGGAAAATGAAACCAGACTGAAGATGAATATGATTGGACCACCTATATTCAATCCAAATCCTGAGGCTGTGTATCAACAGAAAAATCCACGCAAGTAGAGAATTGTTGTCCAACTCAGTTACGGAGTGGTCCAAGTCCAGGACATACGGTTCTACTTTCGGGCACGAAGTAGGATGGATTTGACTTTAGTACCTTATTTTCGGTAGTGGACCATAGAGACGAAACTTTGTTCTTCATTTTTAAGTCTCTGCGTACTGGTCTGTCCCCTTGGATTACAGAAGTTTGTCTATGAAAGCTCAGCTCATCTCAGCTCAAAGCTAGGCCACACACCATCCACAAATTAGTCCTCCTGTAGATTATTGCCACATTTTATCAATTCAAAATCCGTCCCTCTCTTAGACGGATTGTTATCTGCACCTGAATGTGAAATGAAACATCTATAAATATTAATAGTAAACAATGCCGAGAGATGAAAGGACACATATTGAGTAAGGACAATGTTTATGCTCCAGCCATCTTTAAATTACAGAAGTTTGTCTTCAAAAGCTCAGCTCAAACTAGGCCACCCACCATCCAAAAATTAGTCACTCCGTAGATGTTGGCACATTTAAGAAATTCAAAATCCATCCCGCTCCTACCTGTTACCTGAATGTATGAAACATCTATAAATGTTAATAGTAAATGCATTGCTAAGAGATGAAAGGATATATAATCTTTCCATCAGTTTCCCTTGAATGTCTCTACATTAAAAGACCACCCATGTGGCAATCCAAATGCTGGAAATTCACAAGTTCACGATACTAGAGAATTCTAATCAAAATAATTTGTCTTGTATAAATGAGCACCACTCATTTATCCCGCCTTACTTTGCTGACTGGCTTCAATTTTCCATGTTCCAAGGCCAAAAGCAATCTCGTCGGCTATGATATAAGCAGCCACTCTGCCGACCCAATAGACGCAGGACCGCCGAATTCACCTTCTTATTCTTTTCCACTCACACCCCACTAAGAATTCTCCGGATATATGGGTAGAGCTCCAAACTACATTCAACAATTTCATAAAAGCAGGCTTTTCAATTCATTGTGGGGTGAAGAAATGGGAGCTTTCAATGATTACAATAATGTCATCCACTTAAAACTATTGAGTTTGAAAATTGTTCTAATTTTCATGTAATGATGTTAATGCAGCCCGAAGCAATAAATGCAAGAATAGATAGACATTATCCATAGAAACAGCTGTCTACACAATCTGCGAGCAGCAGAAAAATGATGAAGGAAGAGAGAAGGATAAGCTATCATTTTCAGTATTTCCTGTGCAGCGCAGGCCATTTTTTCTGAGGAACAATAGACAGTTTCCTTTTAGCACATGGCAACCTGAAAATTTGATAAATAGTTCACGACCATGTTTATCAGATCAAAAACAAGATTGTTAAGCATAAAACCCAAGGCAACTACTCCAGTCTTCGGTGTAAAGAAAATCTTAAATAGTGCAACATCATAATTTTATATATTCTCCTTGTGCTATAAGGAGAATATATAAAAAGGAAAGAACTATTAATGAAAATTTTCTGGCTTCCATTCCAAGCTTGTGCACCTACAAAAAAAATAGCAATACCAATAACACTATGCATGATTTTGAAATTTATATTGATAAACCAAGAACACCATAACATACATTGAGGATTCAAGCAACTATATTATTTCGGTTCACAATGATCGATCATACATTACAGTCTTCTGGAGCTCTTCTGAAGCATCTTGAGGACTTGGGGCCGAGACAAGGAAGATTGGATTTGCGAGTGGAAGATGGATCTGTGGTGCCTTCAACAATTTATCAACCTACTCAACAATTTATGAACCTGTGTTTTGGAGAGAAAGCAAAAATGCTAAAATTGTATTCTTAGCCTTGGTCCCTAGCCTTTGAGAGGATCATAACCACAAGATGATAGAGTTCGAGAAACGTAGCCCAAAATTCACATCACCCCAAATGATGTTCTAGGAGAAGATGGAGAAGAGGAGGTTGACCACATATTTGGTCATTGAATTTTCCTGGAAAGTTTGAGAAAAGCTCTAAGCTACTTCTAATGAATTAGGCTCCAGGTCTTAATTCAAAGCTAAAGTTGCATTCAGATCTAACTACTGTTTGGAAGATTTCAACAGAGAAACAGCAGAATTTTTTAGGATTGGAGAATTCTTTTGGAGTCTGAAATTATGCAAGGTTTGAGGTTGAATATTTTTAGCCACTAATTCTTGGCCCGTTGGATTTTGCAACGGATCACTAGTTCTTCCTTCCCCTGCATATTCATTTTCATCAATGCAGATGTGAGGGGATTAAATAAAAAAATGGATGATTACAAAGTATCGCAGGAGCATAAGTTAGATAACAATATTACTAAGAGTGACAGATCCTACTTTAAGTATAAAAATATCACCTTAATTGCATGGATATTAAAGAAAAACTTGATACATCATTGTTTACATGGACCTGAACCATGAGACTGGCAGGTAAGCCTAACTACATGGATAAACTCCATCAGCCTCCAGCTTATTACGTAAATTCATAACCAGCGGTTGGTTTTGAAAACTGAGGCAGTCCATCCATCACACTGAGTTGTCTTCTCAACTTGACAATATGAGCTTGCACCTAGCAGATCAACTATAACGTTAATGTAAAATCTACAACCTTAATCATGAGCCTTCCACTAGATAGCTGCTGATGCGATCATAAAAGAAAGAATAAGCTAATCATGATCAATTTGAAGTTAACACATTATAAGTGGACTTCAATTCTCCACGGTTTGACATATTATTACACCGTCACCAACAAGATGAAGAAGACTCTCAAAAGCATGCAAACATATATAGACAATATCTCTAGTCATAGTGTTGTGATAATAGCAAGCCAGAAATACGATTGCTTTAGAAACTAAAATATTTCAACAGGTATAAAGAGAAAGATTTGTAAACAGGATAAAATATGATTAGTTGCGAAGAATGTAAGAAAACAATATAATCATACTTGTTGGCGAGCAGCTGCAAGTTTTAACAGCTCGTCTGCCTCTGAAAAATTCAGGAACCATTGACTAAGGGGATGATCCTTGGTGTCGCCTCTCTCCCTTTCTGCCATATTCTCAATTGGTGCTGCATATCCCAAATTATTAACTTAACTTACAAACTGCAACAGAAGGTAAGCAAGACAATATTACAGATATTTACCAGGATTAGGTAGATTGAAACCAGCAGGAAGGCGAGGCACAACAACAGCTGGATAATTCTGAACACGAGCGAAAAAATTTTCAGATGGATCGGGAAACACAATTTCGTTGTAAGATTCCACCACAACAGGTTTCTTTGTTGTTTGTGGACCAGATTCGTCTTCAGGGTACAACTTCAAATGGTGAAATCTATAGTAATTTGAAATAGTCATAAAAATGCCTTTTAAGATAAAATCACTATACGTGCACGAGAAAAGAAAAACAACAATAGCTTACAGGTCTAATTGTTTATCACAAACGTCGCTGTGGAAGAAAAGTGTGACGGCAATCTCAAACTCTCCCCAACCACATTCTGATAACTCAAAAGGTGGCGATTCAACCACTCTTGTTGGGTTATTAAAGCTGGGATGTAACTGAAACACAACTTTCTTTATCACCACCCCGAGATCCTCATTAGTAGCTCCACGCACATAGACTGTCCATTTATGTGACTGTGACCTAAAGGGGCAATTAAATCATTTTCGTTAGCCAAATGCCTGAAAGGAGGAGAGGAAATGAGACAGCCCCTGAAGGGAGGAGACTCACTCGCTGGCCTTCCTGCCCAGATAAAATGCGATGGTTCCACAGACTATTGGGACACAAATTTCCATGTCTTTAAGCCTCTTGCTAACATTCTGCAGTAGTCGAAAATTCTTTGAGATGAATGGGACTAGTGCAGTGTGGTATAGATTTCTCGGAGATAAACAATTTAGAAAAACTAATGCCCTCATAAAACTCAATGACTTCGCTATCTTTTATGTCTCTTGAACTACGAATACCAATGTCAGAAATCAGTGACACTAAAGGATAAGTCTGAGAAGTATCTACTATAGCTACTTTCCAAGACAGCCAGAAAATCAAGTATGAAAAAAGAAGTATCAGAACAACCTTGGCATCGCCTGCGTCGGAGGATTTTGAGATTTTGATGCGCGGTGGCTTCGTACCAGATCCACCTTCGTCGGCCGGCGTTTCACCTTGTTTTCTACCGGACATTGAGCTCGCCCTCTTAGCCTCTGACAAATTATCCACGATACACAACCTTGACCTTCAGACTGTGAGAACTTGATCGCGGTACACAGATTACAGTTTCTTTCAATTCAATTTCATAATTTCGTGGGAACTCAAACGCGCGAATTCGAGTTGATTGGGGATTAGGGTTTAAGAAGATTCTACCCAAAAGCTTCTTTCGATATTTCGGATTACTTATCACTATCCTTTTTTGTGGTGAAGATAAATATTAATTACTGCCTCGTTCAAAAAAACATATTTATTACCAAAAAGTTTATAAATTATTAAATTATTATTTCATAAAAATGTTTAGACATTTAAATACTCGAAGTCATAAGAAAAAAATGATGGTCATAAGTTATATTAGATTCGTAACTTAGATCAAATCCAATTATTTGAGTTATAATTTTTTTAATTCAATCAGTGTTAAATAATGAACTCAACCCAATTCAACCATTTGATTTAGATATGGAGGCAAGCTCAGAAGAAAGTTGAGATTGACTTCCAACTCCATCTCAATCGACATCTTGCTGTCTAGAGGTGAAGTCTTAAAGCTAGACTTATTGATGTATTGTCCCAATCTCCATAGGCTCATAAAATATCTATTTATTTATTTATTATACATTTAATTGATTTAAAACTTAATTTCTGTGATCTATATAATTTTTTAAAAAAATTAAATAAATAATCAAAATAATTATAAAATTAAATAAAAATATATATATTTCAAAGTTATCTAAATTAATTCGAATCAAATAGTTTCAAAAATTCATAAACCAATTCAATAGTGAATACCAACGACACCATAAAAGGTCATCCCCAAATCCTCAAAGCCATGTGGTGTTTTGGTTCTCATAGCTTTCTGAACTCTAAAATTGTTAAATGAGTGCTTCAGCTTGAAACCCAATTCATAATCACCAAATTCTCAATAAACACTTATCAGTTAAGAAATCCCTAGAACAAGAATTTACAACGATAGAATAATACTTGAGCAGCCGCAAGAGAATGTGTATGAAAAGGATTAAAGATAGCAACAAAAAAGAGGCAATTCCGAAGATCATCAGCCCTTGAAAATGGAAGTCGGAGATAATGGTGGAGTATCCAACTGGTAAAGATTGAGCGAAGGCCCAACAAATCGGAACACAATCCAACCACCAATCATGATAAAAATGGAAGCATAAGCAAACTTGTTTAGCCAAAACAACAAACCCTTCTCTCCCATATACAGCTCCGTCGCCTTCTCCGCCAAGTCCATCTCCTCCCATTTCTTCGGCTTCTTGGAAGCAATCTCCACCGGCGCCTTTCTCGCCCCCACATTCCCCATCGCCGCTCCATCCTCGCTCTCCTGTTTCGATCGTCTTCTCGACCTCTTCCGAAACCGAACATCAACCGTCTCCGGAGGCGTTATTGCCGGTGGAACCTGCGGTGGCGCGCTGTCGCCATCGGTGTCCGTGGCGTTGATCGGTTTGATCCTGAGAGGCTGTTGATGGCGTAGAGATAGAAAGAATACCTGATTCTGAGATGTAGGGGAGAATTTATGTGGATCGATGGTCAAGAGCGGCGGTTTAGACGCCAGAAATCGGTGGAGACTGGTCGCTTCCATGTGCTGAGAAGTGAGCACTTCGACTGGTGGAGTTGCTTTTATCCATTTCTTCACCGTTTCTCTGGCTGAGAATTATTGGGCCAAGCGATTCGGCCCAGTCAAAATTAGTTGGACCTGGACCTGACAATTTTGTCTTGGGCTTTCTATTGGACTGGCCCATGAACCATGAGCATTAATCGTTGATTGGGATTTGCTGATGTGTAGTGGTGTAAATGACGTGGCAAACATTTATTAATTTTAATATTTATATTGTACCTTTTTCTCCCTTATTCTCATTCTCTTTTCCTTTTGCTAGCCACATCATTCAAAATATTACACGTCAGCAAAACCCAATCAACGTCGATGTGCCATGTCATCATTTAATACTACTTAAAATAAGATAAAATGGACATTTTTAAAATATTATAGTTCTGGTTCAATAAAGTAAGTACCTAGGGCTCTTTTAGTGGCCTGGCCCAAAATTGGAGGAACGGATAGGAATAGGAATCCGAATCCGACCCGAATGAGAATCCGATGCAGTTTTTTGTACGTCTCTTCCGAACTTGGCATTTGCCGCTGTTGAATAAGGAAAACATTTGCAATTTCGCTCTAAATTTTGCGGTCCACGAAGCAAGTTTCCCGTAATTTTGATTTTTAGCACCATCGCTTCGCTTAAGTTCTTCGGCTTTGCTTTGAACGATTATTGGTTTTTGAACATCTTCTCAACCATCGTCTCCGTTGTTTGCAGTTGATTGTTCGTCACTTGCCTATGGCGATTAGTCATCAGCATTTGAAACTGGAAGACCCTTTTCTTCATAACTACAAGCCCTCAGAGCTACGGATCGCTTCTGAGTTTCTCACCACTTGGCTTCCATTTCTTTCGAGAGATCTCTGCCGGAACTGCACCAAATTGCTCTCGGATCGAATCCGCGCCCTCGACCCAGGTATTCTTTTGTTGCTTTCTATTCGTTAGTAATTAATCGTTGCATGAGGGGCGTTAGAGAAAAAACCCATCTAATATTTTAGGCTCTTTGAAATAATTGAGTATTAGAAGGGGAAAATTTTTAACTTTTAATGAGATGGGGGAATCGATATATTTTTTTTATAGACATTAAAGTGAGGTGGTATGATTAGTTGTCAATTCCTCTAGTGATTTGGTATGACTATTAGACGAAATTACGTTTAGGTCGGCCAGACCTGAATCCCCTCAAAATTTATCATAAAGGGATGGTATGACTATTCGACGAAATTATGTTTAGGTTTAGGTAGGCTAGACCTGAATCACTCCAAAAATGTACATTAGAGAGATGCAACTAGTTGTCAAATTCTCCCTACCAGAAAAAGTTACAGGCTACTTAAGCTCGCCTTTACTCGTATGCCATATAACATTGCTTTCAAAATTTCTCAATATTGCTTTCAAACACTCTTTCAATATCTCTATGCCCTCATTTTTTACAACTTTTTTTCTCAAATTGGGGTCAGAGGCTTAAACATATGTTGCTTGGTCGTAGACGACTCGAATATAAATTGCTTAACTCACCTGCTGATGATGCTGATGAGGAGTGAGTGTCAAACAATTGCATTAGAGCTTTGCTAAAAGAGTGAATATATTTGTTTCAATGCATTAGAGCTTTGCTAAAAGAGTGAGGCGTCTGTGTGCTGATAATTAACATGATCCGTTCCTTTGGTTTGCATTATCTTGATGCTTCCCCTGTTTAATCATGAGGATTATCTGATGGAATTTTTGAACTTGACAACGTTGTAGCTGCCCGTACCGACGAGAATTCAAGTTCTACACCACCAGTTGAAGTCATGCATGAGAGTAATGGGAATCAGAACGATGCTTGTGATGCAAATTCTCTTGGAAGTTGGAAAGATGAAGCGGAAACAAATTCATTAGAAAGTTGGAAGGACGGCATAAATGAAGGGAATGAAGCTGATGGGGTACCTGAAACTTCTTCTAGCGTACAATCCTCTAAAGTAGTTTCCACCAAGACCTCAGGGCCTCGAATGTCGTGGGCTGATATGACTCAGGAAGATGAACTAGAAGAAGAAGAGGAAGATGAGTATGAATCAGAAAAAAGAGTTGTCAGTGTTAATGAGTCCACAAGGAAATTAACAATATCAAAGGTTATTGAGAAGGCAAAGCTGTCTAGAGAGCAGAGAGAGCACATCAGGTTCATAAATGTTGGACGGAAGAAAGATTTTATTTGTCTGGAGAGGTTTAAAGGGAAATTAGTAAATATTCTTGAAGGACTTGAGCTTCATACAGGTATTTTTAGTGCTGCAGAACAGAAGAGAATAGTTGATCATGTTTATTCACTTCAGGAGATGGGCAAGAAAGGAGAATTAAGAGGTAACTATTCCCGTTTGCATCATGTTTATTGTTATTATTAGTTTGGATGAGAAACATTGATTCATTCATTTCATTAATAAGATGAAATTACAAAATATGGTAAGCTATGTGCTAAATGAATTACAAAAAACACTTCCAATGGGCAATAACTGAAGTTAGGTTGTAGAAACTTAAGAGAGGATTTAATTTATGCCAAGAGGGAGCAATAGAGGTTAAATGATCCACAAAATCATCAAATGCGTGGCTATATCCTTCATGTGACGGTTGCCCTCCAGCCATAGAAAGGCTCTGATGAAGCAATTCCAGAGGACTTCCTCTTCGTTGCTAAAAGGGTGACTGATGAGTATCCCTTCTAGTAAAGTGATCAACTCTCCCGGTAGAGGTAGGTGCCAATTAAGAGACAGTAGGATATGGTTCCCAAATGAAGAAGCATGAGGGTAAGTAATGAAGATACGTAGCAAGAACTCTGTCATTTTGTATCATATCTAAGGGATTTCTAGATTCAGGCCGAAAGAGGAACATACTTCGAAATACTTAGTAGAGGGAAATGCTGTCAAGCAGAACAAAAGAAGGGCAGGCGAACTGATAGTCAATTCCATGAGTGACTAGACATACCACCCCCCATTTTTATAATTGAAAACATAACTTGAACACAATGCCACATTCACCATTTTTTTTTTTTTTTTTTTTTTTTTTTTTTTTTTTTTTTTTTTTTTTTTTT